CACACAGCCTTCTCAGATAATGCCGGTCTAGTCCCTATTGATCTTTTTCTTTTCTGATCCTGACCTCCCATATCTTCTTCAAGGATTAGTAACTCATCTTGCCAATTTGGTTATAAATTCCTTAAGAGTAGGCATTGTGTCTTATTTCAAGTGTGTATGTTGTATTTCCCCAACATACAGGAGGTCCTTGAGGAAGATTGAGTGGCTAGTGAGATTTCCATTTTCACCCAGCATCTTGCCCCGGGGCCGGGCCCACACACAGGCTGCAGGAACACTTGTGGATTTGTTTTGGATGTGCGCAGCATCTGCTTGAATGTTCAGCACACAGTGAGCACTGCATAAATTGTATTTTTAGAGGCAATCTGTTACCACATAAGGATTACCAGAAATTACTCATACTCTTTGTGTAAGTAGATTTATACAATTATAATATCTAAGAGCTGAAATAAGAATGAGGGAAATAAAATCATGAGGCCTTTTTTAAGCAAAAAGGAATGTCAGAACTTCTGGTCAAAATGTATTTACTGGTGTGTCAGAGAAAAGGTGCGAACTTTGTTGAAAATAACTTGTTATTAATAATAATGTGTCAAGTTTGAGAATGATTTGCTATTTTCAATGAATCAAAGTGGATTCCAGTTTTCTCCAATGGTTTCATTCTTATTCAACTGTTTTATTGAGTGGGAAGGCTAAATCTAACTACTTTATCTGACAAACAAACAAAACAAAACAAAACAGAATGAAACAAAAAACTGCGGCTCAGAGAAGGGAAGGACCTGGTCCAATGTCACACAGAATTCAGAGAAGCATGGAGGCTAAATCCCATTTTTATCAGATCCTCCTCAGGTCAGCAAATAAGAAAGAATCAGTGTGATTTAAGAAGAGTAAAACGGAGCCCAGTAAAATTTTAAATCTTATTCAAATAGCAAAAATATTTGTCTCCAAGTCAGAGATCATAACTTAGGAAGGATTTCTCTTGGCACAGTAAGAGGAGTTTGTGAAGCTCCCTATTTCTTAGCCCTCTATTATAAATCATTTGAGAAAGTATATATTTACCCTTCTCTTTCTAAGGCTTTACTTTGTCTTTGTACAAATATTCATCCTTGTATATTTGATTTTGCCCTACAGAGAAACTCAGAAAGTGTGGTTGAAAAACAAGCTACATCAATATAGACAGATCTTCTCCTCATTTTGGTCTGTAAGAACAGGAAAATTAGCTTATTTTTAAAATTTCAGAATATTTGAGCTCTTTGCATAGTAGAACTGAACAATTTTCTGATGAATTTGCACAAAGCAAAATCTGAATAAATGCAGTTTAAAACTGATGAATTATTTCAACAAACCCCTACCCTAACTTAGACAGATTATTACTTGAAACCGATTTGCTTCTCAGAGATCAACTTAGTAAATAAAATATATTTGGTTCAAAAATTTCAAGTTAAATATTTGAAATGTAATCATAAGTCTTTAATATTCCAATGACATCCTTTTAAATTTACTTTTAAGATGGTGGGGTTTGGACAAGGATAACCTACACTGCCTCTTTAATAACCTTCTGTAACATGACAGAAAAAATATGCAGCCAACTGTTGCTGGATTTTCCTTTCATTCACTAATGCTTTTAATAAACCCCTCAGAAACCTCTGGAAAGCAGAGAAATGGTTTGAATGGATACATTTTTTCCTCGTTTCTACTCTTACACGGGGACATATCAGCTGAATATTATAATATTGAGGGCTTTATTTCTTTGTTTCCAGTTAAAATCTATATGAGCAGATAGAGATACATCGGTCCAGCAATAAAACTATGGCTGAAGTTTATGATCCTGAAGAGGCCAAACACCTCTTGTCAGCTAAGAGCTTTGCTCACTGGAATGAATCATTGAATTTCTGAAGCTCAACTGAGTTGTCCAAGGGTCTGTCAGTATCCCTGATAAGAAACTTGGCAGTGTTGGCTAAAAGGGAGGGATGATAAGACATTAAATGAAAAAAAAAATGCTATTTTCCCTGAAATGTGATAATGTGGTCTTCCTAGATAGATTCATAGTTTACTTTGTTTAATTATAACAGAGGATAACTAAATTCATTTATCAATGAAAAAAGACAACTCCTTGAAAAATAAACAGAAAACCCAACACAATCCCCCACTCAAAAAAAAAAAAAAGGTAGTAGGGTTTTGTGATTTACAAAGAAGTGAGGAAAATGGTTTAAACTTTTTTTAAAGTCAAGCTCAGAAAGAGAAATTAACCCAAGATAAATTGTGCATTTGAATCCTGCAGAAAAAAAATCAGAATAGGGCTATATCCAAAGTAGACAACTGAAAAGAGAAGTATAAGAGATTTTCAGGCTTAAATAATAATTGTCTCAATCCTTATTTTGTTTTGTGTGTAGCAACCATTTCCAAAGTAGCCTACAATCACAGAGAACCTAAGTTGAATGTGTCCACTCAGTTCGTCCAGTCCAACACTGTTCCCAGATGAGGGTGCTGAGGCCCAATGAGAACCACGACTTATCCTCACAGCTTTATAGCCACACTAAGGCCAGAACTTCAGATCCTAGGACTCTTCACTGTGAAATACCACTTGTAGGCTCTTATTTTGTATAAATTGAACTGAACATAACAATGTTGTTTTGACAGAAATATGATTTACTATGGTTTTTAACTCAAATAATTTCTCTTCTCTCTGGAAGACATAAGAAACAAATCAATCAAATGTACAGAGCCATAATAACAACTAAATAATAAGCTCTGGAAGAATTTATCATTCAAGCTCATCAGAGACTACATTTTCTCTTAACTCAGAATGTACCAATTCCAAAAGCCAATAACAAGAAAATCTCACAGCTCAGCAGTAAAGCTACTTTTAACTCTAGAATGAAATCATTGGGTTCAATGGACAGACCCAAGTGTCACTTAAAAAATCAGGCCTGCCTGCATGTCATTAACTTTAGAACTTGGCTATGTGTTACTACACTTCTCCACCATCCTCATGGGGTATGTCTGTGTGTGTGTGTGTGTGTGTGTCTCATAAAATTCTGAAAATATTCAAACCAAAGAGTTTAAGACTTCCAGGAATAGCTGATAATTCATTGTAATTATGCTTTAAACTTAGATCCTCTAGTTTTCAACCATTTTTTCAGCATTTATATGAGAACCAGAGCCTCATTCACTCATTTATTCACTAAATAGAAATATTTATTGGAGATTAAGGTATTATGCTCCAAAACACTATGCCAGGTGTTAACAATATAAAAGTAAAAGACAGATCAGGGAGGGATTCATCTGAGGATTACCCAGAGTACAGTCCATCACGAATCTTGTCTGCCTGGTATTCTCTTTGTGAGCTGGAAAGTACCTTAGATTGTTTGTTGTGTTCCACATTCTGCCAAGATCAAAATGTCCCCAAAGTCCAGGAAACAATCTGACAGATAACTAGTTTAAATGGTCTTTTATCGTAAATATTGATGGAAAACATAAAATAATAATTTAAAATAAAATTAACAAAAATGATGTATAAGTAATTACAAAGTTGCTGCTCAGGGAAGTATGGATGAGGTACATTTTCCACCCCATCCAGGATTGACAAAATCTGTTTTGATGCTTTTTTTTTTGGAGACAGAGCTTTGCTCTTGTTGCCTGGGGCTGGAGTGCAATGGTGCAATCTCGGCTCACTGCAACCTTTGCCTCCTGGGTTCAAGCGATTTTCCTGCCTCAGGCTCCCAAGTAGCTGGGATTATAGGCATGCACCATCATGCCCAGCTAATTTTTTGTATTTAGTAGAGATGGGGTTTCACCATGTTGCTCAGGCTGGTCTTAAATTCCTGACCTAAAGTGATACACCCACCTCAGCCTCCCAAAGTGCTGGGATTACAGGCGTGAGCCACTGCACCCGGCCTATTTTGATGCTCTTTTTCCAGTATCAACAGGCACATTATGAACTTAATATTTTATATTACGTGTGTTCAGAATAGGGAGCTGTACACTACTTTTATTCTCATTTCAACTGATCTTGTCAAGGGATCTAATAATCTTGTATACTGGCACCAATTTTCCTTTAGCAAAACACTTTTGAATGTGGCTATTCCAATTGTTTCAGCTACCCTAGGAAGGCTACGTGAATAAACTGAATATATTGTGCATATATTGGTAATCCTAAGAGAGGACAATTTGTTATAAGTCCTCATGTTCCCGCAGGAATCGCAAATCCTTTGTTACGTTATACATTTGTGATTTGGAGCATGCCTGGCAGATATATTCTAATATTCAACCAAATGCAAATAGCCAAAAAAGTAACTTTGTCATCATATCACCATAATCGCAGGAACAAATGAACGCCCCACCCCCCGCCCCCGCTTTCTCATTATTTTTTCTAAATGTACTTTTTAGGAATACAGTGATGGCATTTCTATTAATGAACTCATAATTTTTATTCCTTGGATTTGTATGTCAGTCTTTTATTTTATTAAATACAAATGTATTAGGTCACATATGGTATTAGACTGAATTTTATAATTAAAAAGCCATTGGCTTTGGTGTAGATGTGTGTCTGTGTCTGTTGAGGAGAGTGGGGAATCAGTAGTTTTTCAGTACTTAGCGAAGCATCTCTATTTGAATTGATTTTGTTGTTGTTTACTTGTAATTTTTTTAAGTCTAATACTAATGGACACTCATGGAAAAGTATTAATATATATTTTTATAAAGCTTATTTTACCTTAAACATGTAAACTAATCATATGAAGTATCAAAGCCTTTATCTATAAGCATATCAAGGCAAAGAAAACAGTTTCAATTATAGTTTGTCATTCATTCCTCTTCAGATTCTAAATATCTTTTCTAACTAATTTAAGTGTAGTGTTCATTGTTAGTGAACATTTATTTTTTAACTGAAATCTAATTACACATAAATTAACTGTGTAACCAGTTCATCCAATAAAACCCAAGATCATTTGATCACATTTCCAATGTTTCATTTTGCCTATTAACAGCTCAAAATATGACATTTATTTTTTGAAACAATGTCACTATTAGCCACAGAAGTCTATTTACACAAGAGCTTGTTTCATTTGACATTTATTCCAATAACTTGAGAACAATTATTTACAACTAAATCTAACAGTATTTGTACGAGTACTTTCAAGCTAAAGTACTGCTAAAAAATTTCAACATGCATGTAATTCAATATGTTTACATAATAACATAATTTATTATAAAATCTGTGACTCTAAGCACTTTATGGAATATGAATAAAGGAGTCATTCTACCCTCTACTGTAACACGGCCACATCTGAGAAAGGAGAGGCTGCTGAGCAGAAGCGTCCTGTGTTCAATTTTGTTGAAATGGGTTGGCTACTCGGACTGTTCAGGACTACTACTGTGCTATCATAGCATTGCTTGATAGCTCAATTCACATCAAACTGCAGAAGACTTGCAAGTAGCCACCAACAAACTGGTAGCACAAGCAGCCTTGGCAAAACACAGTTACTATGCAGGTGGGCTCTATTTTAAGCAAAGTCGATATTGAAAATCCAAACATACAAAAGAGATAAATTAGAGAATGGTTATTTGTATTATAAAATGGTTTCCTGCTTTATGAAAGAATTCACAAGTTTCCTCTAAATGGCAGCTCCCCAATGCATTTAAAATACAATTTGATTTACAAAAGTTCAATTTACACGTGAATTTTTGCATAATCATTGTGAGAAGCAAAGTACACCTATATACAGTACTTAACTTTCTCTCAGGATTAAGGTGTCTTATTGTATTGATAAGAGACACTTAAGTCAAAATGTTGTATTTTAAGCCACTGAAATAGAAAGTAAATATTACCTCTGAAACATGGATATTCCAGAAAATGTAAGTACATTTTTAAATTTTGTATTTACAATCTTGGTAGTCATCTTTACAAAATAGCACTTTAGATAACACAAGTATATAGCTTTCATTAGGCCATACTATTGGGCCTTATTTTGCAAAAATTTGTTTTATTTTATCTTATTTTGGTGTTTTTTTTTTCCTTTTTAGCTGAGTAATTCTAAAGAGATGTCAGACTATAGCTAGGCTACTATTATATATCAGTTTTATACCTTACTGCACAGAATCACCTTTAAAAACTCAACTTTTTCTGCATTGCATTACTGTCTCCACTGTTAATCTGGGCGACTGCCATTCAGGTAAGACACTCCCTTATCAGCACTAAGCTCCTTGACAGGGTGAGAGTGAGTAGTAGGGGGGTGGCGTGGAGGGTGAAGAAAGTGTTGTGAGGAGGGTAGAGACCCTGTCCACTGTATGTCTCAGGACGCAGCCTAGAGCCAGGCACCCAGAAAATAAGCACTCAATAACTGCTGAATGAAGAAATGAATGGACTGGGAAAATTGTCTGGATGGCTTTCTTCACTCTAGCATCCAACCCAGTATATTTCTGGAATATGTAGAATCAAAATGAATTTTCAGAGTCTGAAAAATCACAGAACCTCTTTCTTATTCCTTAAATGCTTTTTGTAAAATTCATAAATTATTAAGCCCTTGATGACTTGGAGACATTAAGAAAAATTAAGTCCCATTAGAGGTCAGAGGAAAAAGGAGAGGAGATTGAAGGGTCATTTCTTTACTCACCAGCTGCTGGAGAGAACTAACAAGGCACACAGGTTGACCAAAGTCCAGAACCAAATTAGGCTCTTAGCAATTGTGTTCAGACTGAGAAGTAGTATTTTTGAGTGTTTCAATAAAAACTTTGCCACAGGTATATTCGGAAACAGTGAAAGCAACTAATTAAGAACTAAAATAGAAGGGGATTACCATTTGTCATTTGAAGGGCCAGACATACAGATACGTTCCTGGCAGGGCCCTGGGAGACCGCATTCTGTAGGCTGGAACCATTTTGCTGTGCTGATGCTCATACCTCTTAAAGCTGCACGTGAAATAAAAGTGAAATAGCAATATCCAGCTGTGGAAGATAAAAATAAAAATCCTAAAATAAAATATGGTCGAAAATGCTTGAGCAGATAAAGCAAAACAGAATATAGTCAGTGGGGATGCTAGTGAGTTAATAAAACGTAAAAGTGTTTATGTTTGCATTAGAAAATAAAGGTTCAAAGTATATGATGTAGGATGATTTTAAATACAATAGTCTGGAATGCATTCAAATAATTTCATTTAAAAATCTACTGCAAATAAAGTATAAATCTAACAAGGAAGAGGATATAGAATTAAACCATAATTATTAGGCAAAAGAGTTTATAAATTTGAGTTCTTCCAGTAGGCGTCTTTAAAATCATGTCAGTAAATTAATATTAAGGTATCATCGCTCTTTAAATATAATGAGTTAACTTTTTTTCTATCGACAATGGCATTTTACAGGAGTGACTTTACTTTCAGAAAAATAAAAATGAACACTGAACTGGAATCACTGCATCGAGAGCTCTAGTCATGTAATTTAAGCCTGAAAACGATCTTAACAGAATATATATGCAAATTTGCCTTCACAATCACTTCCCAAAATACCTACCTCTGTATTCTGTATTTATCATTGCATCAAATGAGAGCAGTCAGAAAAGGATTTTTGAAACTCTTGTATATATAAATACTTCACTCAAAGATGAAGTGGTTTCCAGGAGTCTTCTCCACATTCAACTAGCATAATATTCTAGCTCCTCTTCTGTGAAATGTAAAATATCTGTACATTAACTTTCCTGTAGATCATTTTGGCCCACCATTTTCAACTTTCATCTAATGGCTCGAAATAGGACTTATCACCTCTAATCAAAGAATGAGCATGTTATCTTACCACTGTAGATATTCAGAGATTTTATGTTGTTAAAGACATTTTTTCCTTCAATGCCCTTTACGTTATTATATATACACAATTACCTTCTATTGTTTTTACAGACAACTATTTTACACCAGTAATTATTAATCCAAATCATTTGGATTTAAGGAATTTCTAATTGAAAGCCTATCACATGAATTGTTTATAGTGACAGACAATATACTATTAGTAATTTTAAAGCTTTAAAAGTAAGTTATCCGTATCCACTTCAATCTCCACATGATGATAAAGGATTATTATGTGCAGTAACCTATTTATGAAAAGGAAACAGTGTGCTTCTTTCAGACGCCATCGCTTGCTTTAATAAGGAATTGAAAAGCTGAACTACTTTATATGCAGATCACCATCCCAGTTGCATAAGGATTTACAATAGACAAAACAAAACTATTTTTTGTTGTAAAGAAGGGCTGTTTGTTTAAATCACACAATCATGTTTGCATCTAAAATTATTTACAGTCTAATAAGGCTTCGTAAATGTTATATAGACTTGGTTAATTAAAATCATCCTAATGCTAACACCAAAATGAAAGTGTTGCTGAAGCTGACAAGGAAAACTTCAAGTAACACAAGCCTAAAGAAGGCAGAAGGAAAAAGATGCTTAATGTCTTGGTTTAGGTAACTATTAATCGATTTGGAGACGCAAATGGTACTTGATTTGATAGCACCCCATTAATGCTTCAATTAAACTCAAGAGGAAAATGCTGTTTTGTCAGAAAGTGTTAAATTTGAGAAGGATTATGAGTCTAACCTGTGATCTAAAATAAATAGAGATTAATGTATACGTTTTTATCTCTGCTACCTTGAATTTTGCAGAGAACTTACTTGGGAAGTTTTAATCTCGCCCATGAAGTCTTCCTTCAAGGTCTTTAATGGCTCATATGTCTTTGTTAAATGAGGTGTGTGGCGGCCTCTACTGGTGTGTGTTTATAGAAAATGTTTCAATAGGCAGAAAAAATATGAATTTCAATTAAAAAGTTAGAAATACAGACTTTTTCATTTAAATATATAAAAATACCTAATTCGATGCAGAAAAATATATTACTAGCTGTGTCATGTTCTTTTAATTAGGAAAATAATCTAAAACACTCACCATGTTAGTGTAAAATAATGATTTACAGAAGGGCATTAATTGCTCAATTCACTCTGATATTGGGTTAAATATATTTTATTAATGAATTATTAATCCTGACTGAGGTGGCTTATTACCTCTAGTCCACTGTTAAATCCCCTTAGTTGACTTAAATAAAATCACTTAAACCCAGAGGAAAGGAAATATTTTATAGTTAAGCCTACAAAGTCCTAGAACTAGAATCATTTGATGACAGGCTGGTTTCTATAACTCAAGCAAACTGTACGTTGACTTAATATAGCTGACACATCAATCTATTTTACAGTGTTTTCAGTTTCAAAAATACAACACATTAAAATATTTTCAATTTATCAAAGCTAAAAGCAACATTTAAGTAATGTACTTAAAGTGCGAAGGCACTTTAACACAAAGTAGTGATGCCCAGTGGCTATACTCGGTAACTGACGATGGAAATACCATATATCATTATTTACAAAAGAAGTTGTAGTCACAAAAGATCTTTGGAGATCTTCTACAAAATACACTAAATATCCATTTTCATTTGAAAAGTTTGCCTATTCTTTCTTCAGTCACTATAATCTCCTCTTCCCACTCCCACACTGAAAAACAAAGAAGAAAAAAGAAACAAAACCATAAACGAAATATATGAAGAAATGCATTGTAGAAACATTCATGTCCACTGATGGTTCCTAAGAAGAGAAGGGAAAAAGAGAAAAAAAAAAAAAAGGTGGGGAGGAGAGCAAGAGAGAAATAATTTAAAGGAAAACTTGCAAAAGCAAAATCATTACTTCATTCTATCTCCCAAACATTTTCAAAGTCCCCCATTAACACTGGGAAAGGGAGAACAAAAACAAACACAAAAGCTAATGTCCTCGTTTCCAACAGTTCTCAGAGCAGCATCCTCTGATGCCTTAGGGTTGTAAATGATTTCCCTTCACAGCTGACTGATTGCAGTTTGTTTTTCCAGAACTTCGAGGTAGTCCGGTTCTGATTGCGGCTTAGCTTGCAGTAAAGGATGGTTGGGTTTTGACTGCCCCACAAAGCATTTCCTGGGAGTTCCATATAAAACGGTTTTATTGATTCTGTCTTGGTTTTGGCGTCGAGATTCATAGGAAGGGGCAAACTGCCTTTTAGGTAAGGTACAAAAGTTATAGTGGACTAGGCCTGTGCTGGGGAGTTCCTTGACTCGCTCAGCAATATTTTGATACAGCAGCTCAGGCTCTCTTGGTGTGGCCTGCTTTTCTAGCAGCTCAGTGGCACTTATTGTGTAAGCAGGTGTGGCTGGCTCTTCTTTTTTCTCCTCCAGGTTGCTGTAGCTGAACTCTTGCAGGTTTCGGTAATAGGCTACTGGGTCTCCTTCCTTCTGCATGTAGATGGGGTTTTGGCACATCTGACCCACAGGTGGGGGGATATAGTTGTAGACATGGCCGTCTGTTTTATCGTGAGTCTCAGTGTTGTAAGACCCATACTGTAATTGAAAGGAACTTACGTCTAAGTTGTTGGTATTCCTGGGAACACTTGGCACTCCCTTTCGGCGTTTCAAGACAAAGACGAATAAACCGGCCCCAAAACAGACAGATAAGATGAAAACAACAAGCAATCCCAGAATTAAGACAGACAGTGGAACTTCAGTGTGTAGTTCAGGATAGGAACTGGGAGACACACTAAGCGACCGAGGTGTGTCTGTATTATGATTCATTGACAAGATGGTTCCATCTGACAAGTTTGGGCTGTCTGGACAGATAGCCTCCCTCCCCAGAAATTTTAGTATCTCCCCTGCATGCTTAGCAGGAGATTCGCAAGTCACCTCATTAATGATGACAGGGGAGTTGGCATGTTCTGTCCAGTCTTTCAACCCCATGATGTCACAAGTACAGTCCCAGGGGTTCTCTTGCAGATCTATCTGGATGAAAGCCGGGAGCTGATCCAGAACCCCTTTCACAGGCAGGTGAGAAAAATGGTTGTTTCTCAGATTCAGCCTGGTTAGGGCCGTCCCCCCAAATATATTATCAGGTAAGGACCGAAGAAGATTGTTGTTCAGAAACAGTAGCTGTAGGTTAATCAAAGCATCAAAGGTCAGGGGCTTAATTTCCTTAATGACATTATACTCTAAATAGAGATATTGCAAGCTCTGCAGTCCATCAAACATAGAAGGGTACAGCACTTCAAGGTAATTGCCATTCAGATAAAGTCTGCGTAAACTGGTCAGGTTTGTAAAGGCACCTTCCTGAATGACCGCAATCCTGTTGTTTCCTAAGTGCAGTAAGTCCAAAGAACTGTATTCTAAGAGGTCATTCTTATAGACAGTTTGAAGATAGTTCCCTGTTAGGTAGAGTTTCTTTGGACTGGTCGGTTTGGGCTGCAGGTCAGAGATATTAGTGAACTTTCTTTCTTGGCAATTTACGTTCAGACCATTGTCTGAGCTCTGAGAGGTGCAGACACAGCTGCTGGGACAGGTGAGAGGCACAGGAGACTTGGTCTGGTACACCATGATAGGTCCAAAACTTTGCCTGTCCTTTGACACAGTCACTCGGGGAGTTGGACGATTTCTCATTTTGGGCGGCCGGCTGGCTTTTGGAGCCCTGGTTGGGTTGAGAGCAGGATTCATTGTAGGTGACAGCCTTTGGACGTGGGTGTCAGCATGGCTGCCCCTCTGACTAGAGTCACTGGCACTTTTTCTGGGACAGAGGTCTTGCCGGGTCAGCTGGGTCACATCTTTCCCATGCAACCTAAAGGGAGTTTCACAGACTATCTCTCCCACAAAAACAGTTATGGTATCTAGCCAAGCCTTGAGAGGAAGTAAGTCACAAGTGCAATTCCATGGATTTTCCTCCAGCTGAATCTCCATGATCCCTCCAATATGTTCAAGGACGCCAGCAAAAGGCATTACTTTTAACCTATTCCCCCTGAGGTCTAAGTGGGTCAGCAGGACAAAGCGGAACACATTGCTGGGCAGTGAAAGCAGAAGGTTGTCATTCAGGATGAGCACTTTGAGCTTGTTAAGTTTGCTGAATGCCCCGGCCTCGATGGCACTGATGTAATTGTAGTCGGCCTGGAGATACTCCAGGCTCTCCAGGCCCAGGAAGGTGTCCTCCCTCAATATCTCAAGCTTGTTGTTGTTGAGATGCAGTCTTTTGAGAGTTTTCAGGCCACTGAATGCCCCTGTTCGGATCTCCTGTAACCCGTTGTTACCTAGGTGAAGAGTCACCGCGTTGGAGTAATTGACAAATTCGTTTGGATACAGTCTTGTCAAGAGGTTTCCATTGAGAAAAAGCTGATAGATTCGATACTGGGGGGGCTGGAGCAGGCTAACTGTTGTAAATCCTTTGTTCTCACAGTTAATATTCAGTACGTTTTCCTTTTCTTCGCACAGACAGCGGATCTTGCAAATGTCTTTGGCAGTTTTGCGACTCTCCGTCTGTAAGATCCCGGCCACGGTTAACACACTGAGGAACCAAACGCCGCTCAGCATCTTTAGGCACCTTCGGTGTCAACTCAGGTACCTACAGGCAAACCTTAGGTGGGGGGCAGGGGGAAGAAGCGGGTGCAGGGAAGAAAGAAACAAGGAAGCCTGATTAAAAATGGTAAAGCAAGGAGGCGGAGTGGGAACGAGGGAGAATGAGGGGGTTGGCAACACGGCAGAATGAAATCATTGCATTTTTCAAAGCGGTTTCTTTTCTCCGCTCCCTATTCCCCCACCCCGAGGCCACCCACACACGTGCCCCGGGAACACACATGCTTGCACCTGATTTCCCGGGGGGTCGCAGCCAGCAGCCAAGTCATTAGTAACCGAGTTGTCCTACTAAATCCTGCCCATCTCCTCCTCCCCTGGGGTATCTCGAAGAGATCTTGGGCGGCTTGCCCGTCTTGAGCTCCCAGCAGAAATCGCAACCGCTTTAGGAAAAAAAAAAAAAAAGCGCAAAAAGGGGATGGGAAAATCAGGAATCAGGGGGCTGGGGGCAGGGATAGAGGAGAGAGAGAGATGGCAAAAACAGCAGGAGGTGGGGGTTACTCACACATCAGGAGAAGACTGAACCCCTCTCCTCTGCAGTCCGCCAGGAGTTTAGCATCTTCAGGAAGTGGGAGAACAAGGTAAAATAAGACGCTGCTTTCAGGGGGGATGCCCTGCTTTTTGTTGATTGATTTAATTTGACTGGGGGTGCGCAGAAATTAAAAATCCGACAGGAGGCAGGAGCGGAAGAGAAGAGTTGGAGCGGAGGGAAGCCGAGCTGCCAGGGAGGGACTGGGGTGCGATTCTGTTGGGAGGTCGGAGAGCCGGCTGGCCCGGTCGGCGGGCGAAGGCGACGGCGGAGCCTGGGCGCGCGTTTCCAATTCGGTGGCGGCGGCAGCAGTGCGTCTAGCAGTTTGAATCTGAGAGGCTTTGCAGGCTCCCCGGGACAGGACTAGGGTGACGTCACGGGGGAGGGGGCAGGCAGAGGATCCAGGGCGCGCGGTGGGGGAGGGTTGGGCAGATGCTTCCCTTCCTTGCAAGTGGCTTTGCAAAGCTCAATTCCCGGCTGCGTCAGTTGATTCTGAACTACTCCACCTCCAACCTGGCTGGCTGCAGGAGAAGCTCCTGCAGAGGGGTTTCTCGAGGAGGGGCCCTCCTAATGGGCTGGCACCTCCTTGGGCCCCTCTATGTGTTCTCTTTCACTCCTCCCTCTTTATTTCACCTACACAATGCCTATGGGGGGCAGGGCTGGGGGTGGGGGGTTCTTCTCCCAGATTCCCAAGCAAGGGAGAAGTGTGTAAGAGTGTGTGTGGTGTGCCTCTTTGCTACAGGACTGTGCCCCACTTGCCAGCTCCTAGCTCAGATGCTCTCTGTGCAGAGAGAGTGGGGTGTGTGTGCATGCACCAATGTGTCTGTGTAGGAGGGTGAGGAGTTCTCTTAGGGGATTTATGCTTTACATACAGAGCCCTGATTCAGTGCTAAGAGAATTCCTTTCTGGGTGTTGACCCGCCAAACAGACATTTGCCTGGACTCTGAAAGTCAGCTCAACGTTAGCTTACAGACTGAGAAAAAACAAAAACAAAACCCTTTTCTCCCTGAGGTTTATACTTAGCCAGATAATGAGGTTTAAACGTGCGCTTCTTGCCTGGAGGAAGGAGAAAAGAAGTGGGTGTCAGAAAAGCACTGCCAGGCTGAGCCTCAGCTGGGAGTGGGAGCCAAAGGAGGGGTGGTTGAGCCCTCCAGGCTGCAGGGGCAGGGGAGCTAGGAGAAAAGAGGAAGCTGGTGCAGGAAGACTGGCTCCTGAGAAAGAGAGGAGATGTAAAAGGAAGCCTGGCCGGAGACCTAGCTTACCTGGGTTCTGATCTGGCTCTGTTGCTAGATGTGACACTAGCTTCTGGATCTTCCTGTCTCCATCTGCAAAAGGTGGGTAGGTAGACCTTATGAGCCCTCCCACCCCAGCTCTGACATCCAATGTGGGTTTAAATAGCCTTTCCAGAGCATTGCTAATGACCAGGTGTTGGATTTTTGCCTTCATTATCTGTTTTCTCCTTAATTATTGTACAGCTCCTTGGACCCAGGAGTCTTCATTGTGGAATCAATTCACAAGGGGTAAATAATGTCTGCTATTGCCTGGAAAGGCCTTGGTTGCCTCTAGTAGGAAGGGGGAGATGGGTCAGGAAAAGGAGGGAATCAAATAACCAGGGAAAAGGAATTGACCAAATGATGTGCCTGTCCCACAAAACACTTCAGCTTACTTTCCGGGGGACCCACTGCCTGATCAAATGTGGCATAAACACAGATATAACAAACCACTTGAGAACAGAATGCCCCCCGCTTCTCCCCTTCTCCTTCCTTGTTAAGCTTAGGTCCTAGGATTGTTCCCTTTATACAAGCTCCGTTCTCTCCGGGAAGGGCGGGGGTAGTTTATAAACTTAGGCACTAAGGCAACCTGTAGCTGCGGTGATCTGTGCACTATTTTCTTGGGCTTTCTCCCTTTCTCCTTCTTCGTCTTCTAAGAAGAGCCTTGGACCAGGCATCAGGAGCCCCCTTACCCTCTAATTCTTGCTTGGCCTTTAGCAAAATACTTTCCTTCTGGAGACTCCAATTTTCCTTCTCTATAGAGAAGGGCAAACTTGAGATGAGTTCTGAGGCAGAGGGACAGCCCTGCGGATGGCCTCCCACTCTGTATTGCAATTGCATCATGAGATGGAAGCAGTCTGATGCAGTGGGAGCACAATTAAGCTCCCTTTCCTCACAAAGGAGGCATTTGCTTCTATGTATTTCCAAATGTTAAAAGCACACAGTTCCTACAGCAATAAGATTTATTCATTCAGTCATTCATTCAACAAACATGTATTATGTCCATATTTAACTGAAGTAAAGATGTGAGAGCCAGAGCCGAACAGGACCTTAGACGTCAGGTTCATTTTACAGATGAGGTCATTTCTCAACCAGGGAAAGTGCTGACTTACTCAAGAAACTACAATTAGAAACAAAACCCAGGGATTATTAGCCCCAGTCCATCATTTTTCCAAAAAAGCACACTACTGCTTAATATGAATTAAGAATCTACTTAAACTTAAATAGTGGTGGTGGTGTTTTACTTAAAGTTATCCTTTTTATTAAAAAAAATGTATTTGAAAGTGAAACCTCAAATACTAGTTTCAGTTCTCAGATACAGTGATTTCTTTCAAGACACTGATGACGCTTTCAATATTCCTTGAGGACAGATTATTTTTGCTAAAAATTTCAGAGAGAGAAGAGAGACTCAGAGAGAAAGGTGGAGGTGGTTGGGGGCTCTTGAGGTTCTTGAGACCTCACTGGTAATCACTGTGGTGATTACCACAGTGTGGAAATTCACTGGTAATCTAACTGTGGGAAGCGACACCGGGACCCTGAGGGGGTCTTCGTTCCTGCCTGTCCCTGAGAGTCCACAGCTGCTTTCCAAAACGTAGTTACTAGGAACAAATCAGCTTGAAACGCGATAACCACTTTAAGTAAGTTTCATTTGGCCCCGTGTCTTCTGAAGAACTACCGCAACACCCCCCTAGGGAGAGCGGGCTTTTAAGGCTGTGGAAAGGTTCAGGGTGAACTGGGACCCCAAGGGAGGCAAAGGCGGTTATTAACATAAGGAAAACGCTCCCTCTCCTTGCTGAGGCGAGGGAGGCTTAAAGAAGAACTCCGTGGGTCGCCTGTCTCACTCGCATCTAACCCAGTAGAGCCTGGCTCAGGTCTCCAAGGATTCCACAGGACACGGTGGGTGCCGGCGGGCTTACAGCCCACCTCCGTCCCGGCCGCCCATCAGGCCACGAGGGGGCTAAGAGGAGTCCGAGAGCCCAGAGAGGGGCACTGCTCGCCCGCAGCCTCCTGTTCTAAACACCCGCCGCCCGCAAGCCGGGTCGAATCCCATTTCCGAAGGGCGCTTCCGGGAGACCAGGTGTCTCCAAGCGTCCCAGATCGCCGGTAACTGGGCACCGGCCGCAAGCGCAGCTCTACCTTCCCTACCACTACCTGCTAGACGCCTGGTGCGGTGCCCGGCATGCGGCCCCACAGCAGCGACGGCCACTCGGGCTGCCCTCGCCTTGGGGCTTGGGCACTGCAGGCCGACCAGAGGCTTCTAGCTCGCGCCGGGTGCGTGGGCCCTCCCCAGCCGCCTGTGCCATCCCGCTGCGCGACGCGCGGAGCCCGACCACGCCCGCGCGGACAGTCCAGGGGTGAGGAATCTCTAGTGGGGATTGAGGGTAGAGGACGGCCGCCAGCGAGCTGCCCTCTGCGGTGGCGCCCAGCCTCCCCACGCTGGTCCCCCTCACAAGGAGAGGTGGCCGGGAAAGGCAACGGACTGAGGAAAGCCGGCTCACTGGCCGCGTCGCCACCGCGTCCCTGAGTGCTCAGAACTTACCCAGCGAGCGCGCTGCCCAGATCTTTCCCCGGAGGCTCCCGCAGCATCTGCGACTCGGTGAAGCAAAGGAGCCGGCACCGCTTCGGACTGGCGCAGCCCAGGAGCAGGAGCACCGCGGGGAGCGCGGGCGGCGCCCCCAGGGCAGGCAGATCCCCACCGGAGCGGCTAGCCAACGGGCAACGCTTCTTGCAGGAAGGAGGGAGGGAGACGAGAGGGAGGAGGGAAGTAAAGCGGGAGGGAGGAGAGGGGAAGAAGGGAGGGAGGAGGGAGGGAGGGATCGCGGCCCCTCTCCCTCACTTATCAATCACCCCGCAGATTGCACCCAGGACGGGGATGTAAGAGCCCACAAAGGAGCCGCTGCTCCATTTCTCTGACAAGCGCTGCGGAGCACTGCTCACGCCTCTCGGCCCCTCTTGCCTGGAACTCTGCCCAGCCCTTGCGGCTTCCACCCTGGGCTGCAGCTCGGGCTCGGTCAAGTGAAACAAGAATGGCACACGGTCGGTACCATGTCCAAGGAGAGACTAAGACCACTGGGTGGAAGTTAACGACAAGTGAAAGAGCAGTCAGCCGTCCGAGTTGGACACCCTCCGGGACAGCTGCCTCCCCTAACTAGTAAGCGCCCAATCTTCGGGAGTTCGCAGGCAGATATATCAGAACCTCCTACCAGGATCGTAAACAAGGACTTTCAACATAATATAGAGCTGAACTTGAGTTGTGCAAGTGTGTTAACAAAAGCAAGCCCTTAGCAGCGTTCCAGTGATTGATTCCCTTTATTCTTCATGACGACGTTGCTGGGATCGTCTAGAGCGTTATTTTTGCCATCTTCCCTTCCCTTTCCTCCTTTCTTCTTCCTCTTATTAGTAGTCCAGGTGGTTGTGATTCTATTAAAGGAAGGCGCTCTGTGAAAAGAGTCAATGTAGTTCAAGCGGGAGGTGCGGTTTTTGCCAAGAGCATTGCGGTTCCCCTTAAGACTTGCTTTCTCTAGGGCCTCTCCTCTACTCTTCCAGAGTATTAGAGATAAAGTAGCAGTTTGATAAATTTATGCCAGGAGTAGGGAGTTCATTTGATGATACTAAGGCATTTTCCCCTCCATCCTGCAGGAGAACGTCATTAATTCCAGTCGTCACCACCGCCTATCCTTTTCATGTCCATTAGAGTCTGCAAAACCCCGAATCCTTCTGAACATCTAAAAGCGTGGAGGTGGACAGCAGACGGGGAGGCGAGGAGAGGGGTGCAAAATTAGACCCAAAATTACCTCTCCAGCTAGTAGATCTGCGTTGGGATTTGTCTGTTTTCATATTTCCCATACCTCACGTTCTCACAGCACTGACAACCACTTTATTCTTGTCCTTCCCGTGGGAATCTTCTGTGCTTCTCCTGTCCTCTCCTTCTTGGCTTTCTTTCATAATGGTTTTCTAAGGAGATTATGCTGGGCTTTTTGAAAAGAAAACTACTGGTAATCTTACATTATGAAGATGTACCAAGTTTGCTTTAATTATAGTCAAAAGAATTATAATCATATCTTTGGAGTTGTAAGGGTCATTACTGTTCCTTTTACTTCATTCTTGAGAAAGCCTTTTTGAAATGTTCCTACCATTCAGAAAAGCAACTTCAGAGTAACATAGTTCTCACGTAAGCACATGGGCAGTGTATGTACGGTTATATATTCAGAAGCATTGCTCTTCTTTTTACAATATCCGTATTAGTGTAAACATCCAATGTGCTGTTTGCTACAGACTAAAAACAGTGGACTGAGCACATCATATTATCAACTAAGTGAGGTCAGTTAATACTGTTACTTCTGTCTTTACCATATTTCTGACTGTGTCATCTTTTCATGTAGTTTTTAGTAGATGTTATAAACAACTGCAAAACACAGGGCTAAGAGGCCATTCGAATACAGAAATAATGAGACAGTCATGCTGAAAAACTGAGACAGTTTACTAAGAAGGGTGACGTGTCTGTAGCCAAAGGGAACATACAAAATAAGCAATAACTTCTATACAGATTAGAGGAGGAACATGGCATTAATGATGAAAAGTGATACTTCATTTAGATCCAGTAGTAACATGTAATAGATGGCATGCATCAATTTTAATTAGCCTTGTAAGCAAGTCTAACCCATTCACCAGCCTTTGAAAAGCATTTAGCAGCCTGCCTTTCCACATGGGACCACACTGATAGTAAGATAAAATTTAAAAGAGCAGACTTTTCTTTTTGTCAGCATAAAATTTTCAAGTAGGTAGATAGCTGTGCTTTGAAATGCACAGACACAAAAATTGATGAGCAATATAAAACTTTCTGAGAGGGTTTTGCATAGACAGTTATAATGGAGGAGAGTTTGAAGTCTGTGAAAAATTTAAATATACCAATTTATTTGAAAGCTGCTTTATACTGAATTTTCTAAAAGTTTCTGTGTTAGAGGAAAATTTCCAAATAGAATTGAATACTAAAGATACCATGTTCATGTGCTTCTGTTAATTAATAAAAATCACATTACTCTTTTTTATAGTAGCACTGTAAATGTATCTTTATATCCATGTGCTGTTTTCTTTTTAAAAATCTTTTATTTTAGGGTCAGGTGTACATGTGCAAGTTTGTTATATAGGTAAATTTCATGTGGTGGGGGTTTGGTGTACTGTGAGCTATTTTCTATTGTAATGTTCATGTTACTAAGCAGGACAGAGACTAGTGGAAAAATAGAGAAATAAAACTAAATCTTGCCTAGGTTTTTATAATTTCATTCTAAGATTAGAAGAAAACCAGAAATTTCATCTAGGATGAATGAAATAAAAAGCGCATATGTTTCCAGGATGATGCAAAGGATATCCTATTACTGTGTAGTACATAATTTACCTGAGAATGTTGTTTTTTCAACTTCTTCACACCTATCTAGAACTAGAAAGCTTCAAAACATATCAAAGAAGACAAAATAGAAGCATCATGCAGAGTCAGTGATTCTAAGACAGATGTGCTGCATTTTCAGTGAACATTTTTTCTTTTCAACCAAAGGTTTCAAAGAAGAGTTCCACAGAACAAATTCCTAAATAAAGAAACACAACAAAGAGGACATGCCCTTAATATTAGTAATTATAGTTTACAGGATATTGTAGACTTTTGTTCTTGATGTTATTGAAAAGGTGGATATTTTTAAATTCAATTCAATTATTTGGATTATTTGGCAGGCATTTTGGCTTGGTTGAAATAGTGCTGGGCCAAGACCCAGAGCAGTTTTTCTTTTAATCAAATACATATCCAAGCCCTTGGAGCCCAATGACCTGGGTTCAAATTCCACCTGTGCTACTTTCTCACAATGGGACGAGAACAGCATTACACCAATTTCAGTTCCCCATGTGTAAAACTGGCACCTGCTATGTGGAGTGAGTAAGGATGGGATGTATACAGAACTCTTGGAAATTGAACGGTGGTACATGTGTGTGCAAATAAATCTTAAACTGAAAAATTTTTAAACTCACTTCTTAAAATAAATAAATTATACAAAACATTTTATATCTGTTTTCCATGTTTCTCATGACAATCCTCAACAGGCCAGCATGATTATCCAGACTTTACAAAAGAGGAAAGTGAGACCCAGAAAATTTAAGTAACCTGCCCATACTCACATTCTTGGTGAAATGGTTGATTTTAGTCAGAAACCAATATCTTAATTTAAGTTGGATAATAGAATTAGCATTAGAAAAAATATTTACGATTCCAGTTGGGGCCATGTAATGTCAAACATTTAAAAGAACTTCAAAAAATTCCACCTTTTATTTTACAGATGTTTTCAAATAGTTACATATATGTATACATCAGGGCTCAACCTCAACACTATTGATATATTTGGCCAAACGATTATTTGTTGTGGGAGCTGCTCTATGCAATGTAGAAGGATTAGCAGCATCCCTGGCTTTTGTGTATATGCGTGTAATGTACATATGTATATTATATTATATATTACATACATGAAATTATATTATATAAATTACATAAAATATATATTATATATAATCTATATAATTTATAATTAATAAATGCCTGGTTATTTGCAGCAAGGAAGATAACCGTCAAGATTTTGAGGTCTGGTTACAATTTTAAAACAAAATAAAAATAAATATATTATATAATTTATTAAATATAATGAATGTAATTATGTAATTATACATTGATAAATTTTTATATATTATTTAATGTATAAGGAATTTAATATTAAATATATTATTTGAATAAATTAATGTTAAATATAATATAAATATATATATGATATATAATATAAATTTATATTATGTAATATAAATACATGTATGTATAAAATGTGTGTGTATATAAACACCATAATATTTTTAGTGCTTAAACAATTCAAAGGAACAAAATGCACATTATGACTTAGCAACAGAGCAAAAGCTAGATTCCAAGCTGCCTGATGCTCTGCTTTGTGATCTACTAACTACACTCTACACTCTTTCATGTCTTATGGCCCAAGTACTATCAGTGGAGGCAGGCAATGCATACTGGTGCTGCTCCTTAGAAAGAAATATATTTTACACCATGATCCAGGGGGCAGTCATGAATTGAAACATGAGTTTTCCGAAACAATATTCCCCTAATCATGGCCCTGAACCCTGAAATATTGTTCTATTGTAGTCGATTTTTTTAAGTGGATGACTGTGACCCACTAAACTGAACTCACAAGTGACTATAGAGTGCCTCTTACAGTTTGAATAACACTGGCACACTGGAATGGGCAGGAAAGGAAGGAAAATGGGATAGAAAGGAGAAAAGAGGCAGTAGATCAAGATGGGAAGTAAAGAAATAGAAGGAAAAGACAACTGCATGTCGTACAAAGTTGTAGAAAGACTTATGGTGCCCCCATCAGTTACACCAAGTGCCACTTATTAATGACACCTGTTCTCTAAGGACCCTGGGTCTCCCTCTTTTTTGACTGAGTCCAGTGATTTATCAGTAAGAACCATATTTAAGCTTACTAGACTTGGGAGCACATATACATGGCAAAAGCCACAAATTTAACAGATAAGGCTCAGGACAGCATTAGTAGGTATTTCATCTATCCTGACACATTCTATCTTATTAATTTTGCTGCAGCTGGAAGTTATATTTTGGTTTGGAGTTACAACCTAATGTGTTCAGGAGGAAGCCAAATTTATTAGGTTTGACATTGCACTTTATTGGAATGGTATAATGTAGTTGAGCCTCTGTAATAAGTTCTGTTGATTTTATTTATGTATTTCTGTTTGGCTAGTATAAATATATGGTAAAGTATGTGCTGTGGTAGAGAGTTTAATGCTGACTCTGCTGGAAAATTCAAAAATGTCTGCATGGAAGATGCCCATTTCTAAAGAGTTACAGTCAGAGGAGCAGCTACTCAGGATTTGCATTAAGTAGTTCTGATTTTTAAAAATGTCATCATTTGTGAAGAGGACTAGTCTATTAATAGGAACAAAATGGCAAGGGTGACATACCCTAGATCTACCTGAAGTTATGATTTGCACAAAATGAAGCAGAGTTTAGAAATTGTAGGTTTAGAAATGAGGCAAGTAAGATATAGAATGTAAATAAAATCATTTCCAAGTAATAACTGGATGCAACATTCAACCATCACTGCAAATCAATGCGAGGAGAATGGATGTTTTTTACCTTGAATCCTGATGACTTATTACTCAGATGTGATATCAATTATTTTTGTCCCCTTCTATTTTTCATCTCCCAGGCAGTTTCTTAAGTGACAGTACAATTACATTTGGAACACAATCCTCTTCACCTGATTATGGTAAGTCAGGTAACCTCTTAGTCAGATGTAATGGCCCCAGGACATATATTAAGTAACTTTTGCATCTGCCTTTGGTCTCACTATATTCCTAAGCGAATTGAAAAGAAAATGAGCCTCAAGTTTTATGAGTTTTAGGTTACCTAAATATACTTGAAGTTCTCTTAGAAAAATAGCCTGAAGTGTATCTGAGGTGGAAGAACTATATGCAGTATCTCGAAAGCATCACTTTGCGGTAATCTCAGGAAACCATGACAATATTGAAAGCACAATTATCACCAAATTTTTCCTCCACCGTAGGCATCACCACGGCAACACAGGTACAGAAGTGGGGTCAGTGTCACTTTATTAATATTTTGAAAGGAGGCAAAAGCAAGCTTTTTTTTTTTTTTTTTTTTTTTTCTACACATCGTTGCTTCAGAATAATGAATTCAGTATGCTGATCCTTTAGCTTTTCATATATAGGTCTAGTTGACCCAGGTTAAAGTATGGCACAATTAGAACTGGAAAATTTATTTTCCTTAATTTGAATATATTGAACTGTTTTATTTTAATGTATTTTTCAATAGAAATACTAATATATAGGGAGCTCTGTACATGACTGCTAAATGATGAATGCTG